GGAGAAATTGTGTAATGGTGGATTTTATTAATTATTTTCTTTATTGCATTTTCATAAGAGGCTACTCAGATAACTCTGTGGGAATTTGTTATATAAAATACGGTAGTTAATTTACTTTAAGATGTACCAATGAGTACCCTGACACACAGAGATGCTAATGTACAGAGCCTTCACCTCCAATCACTGTACAGCGTGAGTTCAGTCGCCCAGCAAGTGTGCAGAACTTAGTCAGGGTTTTTTTGGGGAGGTTGTATATGTTGCACTATAACTATATCTGTACGTAACAGTGCAACATGGACAGATGGCTAATACAGGTAGTGTGAAGAAGAACATACAAAGGATCAGTGATGAGAAGCGCAGTGATGAAATTTGTCCTGCTTGCTGAAATCGCTGGTGAGACAACGATTACCGACTCAACATGCAGATCTCAGCCTGTGAAGCGAAACATTGACACCAGGGACAAAACGGGATGCATATCAAAGAGACTTAAATATGATGAGGGCAACAAAAATGATTAGGGGTCTGGAACACATGAGTTATGAGGAGAGGCTGAGGGAGCTGGGATTGTTTAGCCTGCAGAAGAGAAGAATGAGGGGGGATTTGATAGCTGCTTTCAACTACCTGAAAGGGGGTTCCAAAGAGGATGGCTCTAGACTGTTCTCAATGGTAGCAGATGACAGAACGAGGAGTAATGGTCTCAAGTTGCAGTGTGGGAGGTTTAGATTGGATATTAGGAAAAACTTTTTCACTAAGAGGGTGGTGAAACACTGGAATGCGTTACCTAGGGAGGTGGTAGAATCTCCTTCCTTAGAGGTTTTTAAGGTCAGGCTTGACAAAGCCCTGGCTGGGATGATTTAACTGGGAATTGGTCCTGCTTCGAGCAGGGGGTTGGACTAGATGACCTTCTGGGGTCCCTTCCAACCCTGATATTCTATGAAAAGTCCATCGAAATGGGCTTTACTTGGGCTGGAGGCAGTGAATTCCCTCAGCTGCAACGTGTGCTATGTGGTGAAGTCCTGTCAAATAACAGACTAAAACCACCTCTTCTACACAGACACTTGGAAACAAAACATGAACACCACAAGGGCAAACCATCGGCATTTTTCAAGCGGATGTGGGTGCAGCTAATGGCGAGCAAGGAAGTTTTGCACTCTGCTGCTCCTGGTGACAATCTTAAGGCCCTTGATGCATCACTAGTGAGTTACAGAGTTGCAAAGTCAGGAAAACCTCACACCGTAGCAGAGGAATTAACACGACCTGCGGCTGCAGACATGCTAAGCACTATGCTTGGAGAGAAGGCCCAAAAATTAATTTAGTGCCGTTATCAAACAACACAGTGCCACATCAAATTGATGACATGGCCAATGAGGTCCTAACTCAATTAGTGACCTGTGTCAGGAGCAGCCAGCACTTTGCAGTTGGAACAAAAGCAGTTGGCTGAGTTTGGGATCCAGATGCTAGCAGAATTCCCTGAATTGTCAGACAGGGCTGTTCAAGGTTTTGATGCCGTTTGCTACAATGTACCTGTGTGAAAGTGGATTTTCATCATGCACTGGAATGAAATCAAAGTATTGTCCAGTGCCTTTGTGTAGAAAACAACTTACGACTCCAACTATCACCTATCACACCAAACTTATATGCTGGTGCTCAAACAACCTCATCTGTCATGTTAATGGTGAGCGGTACTACTAAGCCATTCTTTACGGTGGTCAAAAATATGCATATATTAAAATTAAAACTGTAAATGATATGTACTATAGTCCTTTATATCATGTGTATTTAGATTCATAGATATTAAGGTCAGAAGGGACCATTATGATCATCTAGTCCGACCTCCTGCACAATGCATGCCACAGAATCTCACCCACCCACTCCTGCGAAAAACCTCTCACCTATGTCTGAGGTATTGAAGTCCTCAAATCCTGGTTTAAAGACTTCAAGGAGCAGAAAATCCTCCAGCAAGTGACCCGTCCCCATGCTACAGAGGAAGGCGAAAAACCTCCAGGGCCTCTTCCAATCTGCCCTGGAGGAAAATTCCTTCCCGACCCCAAATATGGCGATCAGCTGAACCCTGAGCATATGGGCAAGATTCACCAGCCAGATACGCAGCAAAGAATTCTCTGTATTTGTGTATTATAATTTGTACATTTTGTACATTTGGGCATTAAAAGGCTTTATAAAACCTGTATTCTGGTAGGGGGTATGTGGTCAGCTGGTGGATCTGGATGGGGTACGTAGGCACTGGTAGATCTGGATGGGGGTACGTGGGCAGCTGGTGGATCTGGATGGGGGCATGCAATAAGAAAATTTGGGAACCTCTGATCTAGATGAGACTAGGTAAGATCCGCAACCTTCATACCCAACAAGCAATTCACCATGCAGTTCTCCTTGTTATGACAAACCCAGCTATTTGTATTTCTAATAATCCAGTCCCCCATTACTATTACCTGTCTTTTCCTGATACCTCTTTGGGGGAGGGGAGCCCAGTTATCCTCAGTGCAAGACATCATCTGGAAGGAGAGTCCCAACTATGGGATCATTTCCCTCTACTTGAGCCTGATGTTTTCCTTCTCTGAGATGTTCATCCTCCTCAGCTGTACAAATGCTGTCAGATTGGGTGTGGGACCACTCTTCTGTGTCCCACAAAGCCTCCTCTTTGTACCACTCTGTCTCCCTTAGCTCCTCCAATTCAGCCATTCTGGTCTCAGGGTCCCGTATCCAGTCTCTGCAGGCCAAGAGCTCCTTGCACGGAATGCACACACGTCACCGGCCCACAAGGCAGGAAATGGCACATGCTGCATTCAGTACAATAAACTGGACAACTTCCCTCCCCCCGCTGGACTTCTGCCTGCATTCCTTTTACTCCTGCAGGCTTGGTGGGGATTTTTTGGAGGGGGGTGTTAATTGGCCTGAGTTCAAAGTCTGTTAATCAGGTGTATCTGGCTCCTACATTCCCTCTCTAAACTCCCTGGCAAAATGCCTGAGGTCACTTAGAAGCTGGCTTTTTAAACCCCTGTTCTCCCTGAGTAGCCCATCCCTCTCATTAAGCGACCCTTAAGGGAAGAGGAATCAGAGGACATGGGAAGCTCTCAGCCTTGCCTAGAAGGCTGCTTGACTCAACACACGGCCCCTAAACAGACCACACTATAAACGTCAATCCAGCAGGCACACAGCAAACAACCTAACAGACCACAGACGAGGGAGGAGAGACAGATGCTTCCAACCAGAGAGCTACTTGTCGCCCCTGGCTCCCAAGACACAGCTCCCTCCACTCCCTGCACACAGCAAAAGGAAGGCAGAGAGCTGATGCCTGGTGAAGCCATGGCTTCAGGGGGCACGGCTGGGCAAAAGCCAGTAGGGTTTCCACTAGAGGAAAGCAGACCAAACTCTTTTCAGATTTGCCAAGCAACTTGTATGGTGCATCCAGTCAGCCCTGCATTCCTGTCCACATCTGAGAAAAAACAGAGCAAAAGACCCCTATAACGCACCATTTGGCCTAGAGCTACCTGCGGAGACTAGCAGTCCCAGCTCTTCCAACTGCCATTAATATCTCTGTGCACTTTACAGTCCTTATCAGGCAACATCTCAGACCCCCACTGCAGCAGGAGGAAACTGCCATGCAGCTATTTCACAGAAAGGGTAGCTGCACAAAGTTACTGCTAGCATGGCTGGGAAAGAACCCTCCTTAGCATGGCAGAGCCAGGTCTCATCCACTTGGCCACGCTGCCTTTCAGAAGGAATGTGCCACGCTAAGTGCTTGGCTAGGCTGCCTCTGACCTAGGCTACACTCTGCTTGGAGGGAAACAGAACAAGGAACCTTGATTCCCAACAGCCCAGTGAATCTGCAGATTAACCTCTGAGTTCTGGGGCACTAGAGGGGAAGCCTTTGAGGCAACCAAAGTGTAAAATTTGGATTGTAAGTGCCTCAGGGCAGGCACAGCACCTAGCACAGGACGAACCTGGTCTCGGGCTGCAGCCTCTAGGAGCTACTGCAACTCCACAGCTAACTAACAGCCAGGACCCAGGCTAGCAGGCACTGTTATGATGAACATTTACGTTCTGAGGCAAATGCAGCTCTGGGGTAAAAGGGCAAAGGCTCACGCAAGCCTGCTCCCTTCTCTAGGAGTGGGAAATCCTCATTCCCCTTCTCAGCCACACTGACAAATCCTGCAGCCTGCCTAGGTGGAGTTGGGGGTGAGGAGGAAAAAACAGGGCTCCAAACCGCCCCCAGCTGATTGGTTTGTATTTAGGGCCCACCGTCAGCCAAACAGCCAGGCACACAGCTATTGCTCCCGGCTGCCACAAGCTAGGCAGCTACGGGGGCAGCTCGGCTCCAGGGCCCTGTGACTGCACGGCCACTCCCTGCTCCCACCCAGGACAGCTATGCTAAGCACAGTGGCTTTAAGGCTGTGATGTCTGGTGTGGGGACCCTGGGGCAAAGGGAATGGCCTAGAACCCTCTAACAGCCAGGCCCCCTCTGCACAGCAAGGGAAGGATCCTGGGCCCTTTCTAGCCATTCCTCTAGGTCTCCCTCTGTGGCAGGTACTTTCCAGCTTTAGCAGCAGGCGTGGCTTGTGGGAGGGGGTGACACAGGTGCCAGGAGGGAAGTGCCCCTCCAGTTTAGCCTGAGGCTCCCAGCCTCTTGGTGGCCTTGGAGAAGATAGGCTGTGTGCTGGGGAAGCTGGTTTGCAGCAGCAGATGCCCCCGCTACCTGGCCGGCAGTACCAAGAGCCCAGGGGGCCCAGGACAGAGCCTGCTGTAGCATGGCACAGCTGGCTGCCCTAGACCCGCAACCTCTGCACCAAGGAGAATCCCACACTGGCTCTCATGTAGCCACAACCCCCAGGGCCAGCAGCGAGTGACCTGCCCCAGCTGCTCCCCAGCCCCCTTCACTTCTGTGCAGCACTGGACACACTCCCAGGAAGCACAGGCATCCATGGGAGCAGCCCTCCCTGTTCTACGACCTGCACATGGTGCCCCGCTCAGAGATCACAAGGGGAGCCAATGCCAACTTCTTTTATTCAGGGCGGGGGGTGGACACGTTTGCAGCAGCTCTGAAGAGTAAAACCCCCCAACACCTCCAGCCTCATCTACAGCCCTTAGCTGGATAGGCTCCAGCCCACACACCCTGCAGGCATGCATAGCCTCCCTACAGGGCAAAGCCCCACTCCGTCTCTATGGGCCTGGCTCTCCCAAGGCAAGGATCACAGGGGACTGGAGAAGACGTTGCCCTACGGGGCTCCCCCTTCCACATTGCTGCCCCTTGCCCCTCCCCGATTCAGATCTCATCCTCTCTGCCTCGAGTAAAGGGGGCTGGGGCAACCCCTGCCCCAGTGCAGGCAGATACTGCCGAGAACGGAGTGTGGCTCCAGGCTCTGAGACCAGCCCCAGCTCCCCTCAGCAGCCAGGAGTTGGGAAGGTTCCCTCCATGGGTCCAAAAACGCCCAGCAGGCACCTCCTGCAGGTGTCTGTGTAGCTGAGCAGCCCTCTCCCTCTGCCCCCCATTCCCCGTGTAGGGAGAGGGGGGCGCCGCCAGCTGTGGCTATTTGATGTGGTGGTGGAACTGGATCACGGCTTTCTCCTGCTCATGCGTCTCAATGGCTCCGGGCCGGATTCTCCGGATCTCGTGGATGGCGTCGACCCCGGTGAGTCTCTGGGCTTTCACCAGGTAACAGGCCAGCATGGTTCCTGTCCTGCCAAATCCCAGCATGCAATGCACTGCCACCGCCTGGGGGAACAGCACACGGCAAGGTTAGGCCAGGCCTGGTACCTTCACCCCCACTCACATCTCACTGCCTGGGAGCAGGTGAACGTCCCAGAGCAGAGCAGGAGAGGCCTGCCCTCATCTCCGGCACTGAGCGACAGAGCTGGATGTCCTCAGCCATGAGTGCCCTGGCCAGCCCGGTAGTTGGAAGCCCTGGATGTGCTGCATGGAGCCCAGTGTGCTGCTGTGGGGAGTGGCAGAGAGATACCCTAAGGCTGAAGGAGAATGACTGCCCTCTGCTTACCCAGCACCAAGCACTCTGGGGTGGTAGCAGCAGTGGGAGATACCCAAGGGCTGGCAGGCTCTTCGTCCTGCCCTGACATTTTTCCCAGCATGAGCCACGTTCAAAGTGATGGCTGCTCGGGTGTCTGGACTTCAGGCTCCCATCACAGGCAGTCAGGACCCAGAGGGCATGACAGGGTGAAAATGGTGCAGTGTCCCCAGGATCCACACTGGGTGCAGGGGCAGAACAGTTCTTGGCCCTGTCCCACTGAAGCAGGGATGGGAGGGGTAAGGAGCTGTAAGACCTGCCCCACCCCAGCCAGCCTCAGAGTTGGGGTGACTCTGGGAAATCCCCCCACACCTGTGGTGACGTTTGAGAACCTGCTGCGTCAGGGCCCTCCGAGGCGGGTTACAAGCTGCCTGGGGCCGAGCGGCTGCTCACAGAGAGCTGTAGGGGGCTGTTATATGCCAGCCTGGTTCCCCCAGGCAGAGATTTTCTGTGGCACGGGCAACGCCAGGCCTCATGCTTCTGGGCCTGTGGAATGCCCTGTTACCGTTCCCACGGCAGATCCACACCACCAACTCCCGTCTCCTCCTGGGAGCTAGCTAGCATTCAAGCCTGCCCTCTCCTGGATGGAATCAGAATGGCACAGCCATGTGTCTCTGGCCCCACACTGCCTACAGCGCAGGTGTCCAGGGCCTGGACCTCAAGCGGAGCCCCATGCCAGCCAGCACTGGGAAGCTCCCATGGACACAGTGTGAGGCACAATGACCCCAACTCTAGGGACCAGGGCTGTTCCGATCACTGAGTGGGGGACAGGCCCATAGGGACACGCCTGAGCTGGGTCATAGCACGAGGCATGAGCAGCCCCACCAGGGAGGGGGAACTCCAGCACTGCTGGCTCAGACCTTGGCCCCTTCTCCTGGGACCTGCCCCAGAAGAGCAGCAATCCCTGCCCGCAGGCCCAGAGCCCTTCCTGCTGCTCTGGGCAGAGTTTGGGCTTGAAGGAGAGCTCTGCTCAGGCCCAGTTTTAAAGCCCAAGCTGAACCCACCCCAGGCACAGCCAACCCGAACCTGCCCTGAGCGTCCAGTCCTTTTCAGACCTGCCCCAACCCTGACATTTCCTCTCCGTTCCAACACCACAGCCTCGTCCCTGGGGCTCAACCTGGTGGGGACTCCCAGCTCCCCATGCCCTGTGCCTGCAACCTGTCTCTGGCCACAGCTGCGTTATTTGGAGTTGCTGCGACTCCTCAGTGCACTCACTCCGCAGCGTACACAGAGTGCCAAGGGGGCGGCCGGTGGGAACAGGGCATGCAGACACTGTCATGCCAACCCCACAGGCTGGGGGAGGTGATGAGAGCTGACCTGAGCCTCAGAGGGTCAGGTTGTTTTCAGACCTGAGCTCAACTCCTGGTTGGGTCCCAGCGAGTTGCCAGGCTCTAGCAGGAAGAGAAGGGCACAGGGAGAGTGGGGGCACTTCCTGGGCATCACAGCCACATGGCGCTTTCAGACCAACAGCCAATCCGGCTGCAGGGGTGTGTATGCACGTGGGGAGAGGTTACGGACAGGCCAGACCTCCCCCTTGGTGCTGGCGTCCTCCACAATCTGCAGGAAGTGCTTGATCTGCTCCAGCGATGGGGCACAGAAGTCCTGGATGCGGAGGTGATGGAGCTTGATGCCAGGGCAGGTGTCGTGGTAGGGCGGGCTGCGCTCGGTCAGTGACACCAGGTGCTGGATGCCATGCTCATGCATGTACTGGTAGTGTGCGGGCTGCCGTGGCATGGCCAGCCCTGCCAGCTTGCCAGGCACCACCCAGGAGAAGTTTGGAGGGACGGCTGACGCCATCGGTGCTGCAGGCAGACACAGCAGCATGTTAGAAAGCGCACTGTAGGAAGACACATTCCTAGCACCCTGCTGCCCCTGTGCCCCCATCTCCAACCTGGCCCAGGGCCTCCCTCCATCCCCATCCCTGGTTCCAACCTGGTCCTCACAGCTTCATCCCCATAGCCCCAAAGGCTCCAACCCCTGCTGCTCTAGGGCAGTGGAGGGGACGGGGAAGGTGGCACCATCCAGTCCCCTTTTCACTCCACGTGCTCTGCAGCCCATCCATTAACTGCCTGACAATGGGGCCAGACACTTGCATGGTGGCACCAGCCCTGCCCCATGAGTCCAACACTGACTCCAGCTGCTGGAGCTGGCACGGCTGCAACACATGCTGGCAGTGGGAGGGCTAGATACACAAGCCAAGGCTGCTGAGTATAGAGCACAGCCTGACCCCAAAGCTGCAGAATGGAGCTTGTCGGTCTATCATTCTATGGGGCTGGGTGGGGAGCTGCCATTACCACAGTTCCCGGCCTCCCTCGCAGATCCACCTGCAGTCACTACACTGTCTAAACTTGAGCGGGATTAAGGGGCACAGGAGCCAAGTGTTGATAAATTGGAGAGGGGTCAGAGAAGAGCCACGAAAATGAATGACTGACAGGTTAGAAAACCTATCTGATAGTGAGAGAGTCCCGGAGCTCAGTCTATTTAGCTTAACCAAGAGAAGTGAAGGGGTGACTTGATCACGGTCTGTAAGTACCTACATGAGGAACAAATATTTGATAACGGGCTCTTCAATCCAGCAGTGAAAGGTAAACACGATCCAAGGGCTGCAAGTTGAAGCTAGACAAATTGCGAAGGGAAAGAAGGTGTGCATGTGTCCCCATGATGGGGATTAACCACTGGAACCATCTACCAAGGTTGTGGTGATGGAGTCTCCATCACTGGCCATTTTTAGATCACGACTGGATGTTTCCCTAACAGCTCTGCTCTAGGAATTATTTCAGGCCAGGTCTCTGGCCTGTGTTATCCAGGGGATCAGACTACATGATCACCATGATCCCTTCTAGCCTGAGAAGCTATGAAACAAAAGGATTCCTCTCTCTCAGTCATGTGACAGCCCCACTCAGGGGGCAGAGGGCTGAGCGTTGACTCCTACCTGACTCCGAATGGGTCTGGCCACACCCCATCCCTTTGAGACTGGAGCGAAGAGGAGCTGGCTGTGCAGAGCCCAGACACAGTGCAGCCATTAAAACAACAAGGAGTCCAGTGGCACCCACTGCCACCTCCCACCCAGGCCCACCAGCCCCTGGCCTAATGTACTGTGCCCCCAAAACAGAGTGCCAGGGCTTGGGGCCAGGGGAGGGGGCATGGCCCAGCCCACTGCAGAGCCCTCCTGTGCCCCCTGCTCATTGACCCAGGTCAGGCCTAGCTGCCCCCAGAGCAAACTCCCTGGGGCCATGAAGCAGAGCCCCAATCCCAGAATGCACCTGGCAGCTACAAGAATAATCCTGCTCCACAGACGAGTTGGGATAAATTCCCGTGGCCCCCCAAGGGGCTGGGCAGATCCATGAACACCTTTTCATTGGGGAGCAGGGCCTGTGCCAGAGACCAGAGTGCACTGTGGATTCAGGGCCCTATTCATATCCCCACACCTACTAAGGGGGTGCTAAGGCCAAAGCGCTGGGTCCCCTGGCAGGCCTGGGGCATTGTGGGATTGCTAGATGCCCTTCTGGGCCTGAGATGCCCCTTGTCCCAGAGGCACGTGACCTCTGGGAGGTGGAGGAAGGTGTCAGGGTGCATCAGAGCTGCTCCCACCGCAGGCTGGGCCCAGAAAAAGCAGGATTATCTGTTCGGGGTTCAGATGGTCACAGACAAGGGGGAGCAAGGTGCCTAGCCCTCGGATGGCACCAGTCCCCAGACAGTCAGGCAGCACCATGCAGATGCCAGTACCTGTCAGAGCCATGATTTCTCCTGGCTTTCCTGCAAGGAAGTGGCTGGCGATTCTGCGCTCCTTCCTGCTGTCCTCACCTCACCCAGGCAGTGCAGGGCCACCTGGAGACTCCTGCCTCAGCCACTCAGGGGCCCCAAGGCACCCACAGTCACAGGGCAGTTCTGTAGGGTTAGTTCCCAACCACTCTGAGTCTCAGCACCCCGGATGAGATGGGGATCAAACCATGCTTCTGGCTGAGGTGTTGGGAGGAGGACCCACTGAAGATAGATTTTTGAAAGCGCTCCCCATGCAGCAGTTCCCCCCCCTCACCTCTTCCCCACATGCACGCACGGACCCCAGGCACTTTGGCATCCTGCTCTTTCCTGTTTGCTTCTTGTCAGGCTCAGATCCTATAGTGACAAGAGCCAGAGGAAAGCTATCCTGCCCCACCCCATCAGTCTAGTCCTGAGACACAGAAATGGAGCCCTGGTCATTTTGAACCCCGCTCATTGTCTCTTCTCTAGGGAAACGATGGATGCTTTTTGGAGTCAGATTAAATGGGGGGAGAAGAGCCCTAATTTAGTGCAACACCACGGTCCTCATTTTAGCTGCTCCACAGAAGACACGCACCCCATGGATCCAGCAGCCTGGAACGCAGCCCCAGGACACACCCTTACTACAGGTGTCACAGAACTGTCACTAGCCATTTCCTGACAACTGCACAAGGTTCACATTTCAGCCAGCCAGTGCCTGGGGAGAGCTTCAGTTCCTGAGGGGGGGTAGAGTGGGGGAAAAGGACACCCAGACTCCCTACACCGAACTCTCGGATACATCTCTGCCTGCCTCAGTGCGCCAGCACCCCCAGCCGGGCAACACAATGACCTGGCCTGCACTGACCTCCAGGGAGCTCCCTGGGTGGCTGCACCCTGCACACACTTAACATCACAAGGGAGGGTGTTGGTGAATCAGTAACACTCCAGCACTATAGCTCCTCAGGCCCAGCAGAGCAGCTGTTCCACACTGAGTATCACAGATAAGCCAGCAGCGAGTCCCAGACCCAATATCAAACATTTTCACAGTACAGTTGCTGAGAGTATCATTTCCATCAACCTCTCATAACAATTATTTAGCCCGTACATTTTGGGTAAATCTTAGAAAATGTCACCTCAGCCCCATGGCTGTGCCCTACCCTGTAACATAACAGACATTTAACCCTTTAAAACGCTTGCTAATTGCTTGCTGCAATAATATCATGTGTCAGTGAGTTCTGCAGGATAACCGGACCTTGTTTTAAAAGGGGTTTGTTGCCTTATTTTGTATTATGGGAATGGAATAAGGAGAAGACTTAACAGTCCCCTCTGCTCACCTTTCAAATCTCCCGAGATGGCACAGTCCCCCGAGCTAGCATCCAGCCCCCAGCCCAGCACCCACAGCTCCCCCAGTCCAGCACAGCTCGCACCCCAACCACCCCCCTCCACCTCCCCAGCCCGGCACCCCCCCCCCATCCCCAGCCCCCCCACATCCCCAGCCTGGCCCCCCCAGCCTAGCACCCCCCCGACAACCACAGCCCGGCACCCCCCCAGCCTAGCACCCCCCCCGACAGCCACAGCCCGGCACCCCCCCAGCCTAGCACCCCCAGCCTGGCACCCCCAGGGCCCGGGCCCTCCGCGTCTCACGCTCCCAGCCCGGGCTGCAGCAGGCGGAGGCCGCGGCCGCTCTCGGAGCCCGGCCCAGCACCTGAAGCCGGCCCGGCTGGTGCACACCCGCTCTCCGCAGCCCGCCGGCGGGAGCCCCGGCCGCTCGGGGCCTGGCAGAACCGGGGTCGGGCCGGGCCGGGCCGGGCCGGGCCAACGCGTGACCCGGGGCCGTGCGAGCCGCGGGTGTCTGGCTCCCGGAAGCCGGGGGAAGCGCCAGGCCGCTGCGAGCCGCAGAGCTCCGGGCGGCGCTGGCTGGGGAGGTGGGGAATCGCTGCGACTTGCCGGCGCTGGGGGTCCGGTCGATATCGCTGATCGCCGCGGGGAGGTGACGGGGAGGCTCGACAGAGGCTGGAAAATTGCTTGATTATGATTGAATCAGAACCCAGTTATCCGGCCCGCAACTAGTGGGACAGCTGAGACTGCGCCCACGCAGGGCCGCCGCGGAAGGAGTTGTGGGGCAGGAAGCAGGCAATGGCTGTAGCAAGAGAAGCCCTCCAGAAGCTCCAAGCCAATGAAGGGCTAGCAGGCTGAAACAGGAGGAGAAGGAAGGTAGCGTAGTAACAGCCACTGAGCGTGTTATAAAGGGAGTCAGTATCATTCTTGTCACTTTGCAGATGGGGAAACTGAGGCACATATCAGGGAAGTGACTTGCCCAAGGTCACATAGCAGGCCCCTGGCAGAGCCAGACGAGAACCCCTCCGCTCTGGAGTCCCAGGCCTGAGCTGTCTCCATCAGGCGCATGACTCAACAGAGTTATTTTTCTGTTTTCTAAGTACAGTAATTCCTTGAACTCTGTAAAGGGATCCCTGCAGTGTGACTGAAGGGCTTGTGCCTGGAAGACACACCTCCATGCTGCCATGAAATTAATTAAAACCGGAAATGTTACGCAGCATGTGCTCTCTCTTCCCCCTTCCATGATTCCCTATATCTGCCTCTGTACACAGCCCTGCATTCTTCTGCCACACAGGTTCCCCTTAGGGCCCCCAGAATATCTGATATTGATGTTAACACCTCACTGAGTTGCAGAGAGCAATTCACCACTCTCACAGTGACAGGCTCAGGCTCTCTGCAGACTCAGGCAGTGTTGCTGTGTCCATTACATTTGGGGCAGCTCCTCCCTCTCACAGCAAGGGGCTCAGGCTCTCTGCAGACTCAGGCAGTGTCACTATGTCAGGTACATTTGGGGCAGCTTCTCCCTCTCACAGCAATGGGCTCAGGCTCTCTGCAGGCTCAGGTAGCATTGCTGTGTTGGTTACACTCAAGTGAGGTTTTTATGATTTTCTTTGCAGCCATGAGGGCTAGTAACTGCCTTTTGTTCCAAGGAAAGCTGTGATTGCAGGTTGTGAGGAACAGGGCTCTAGGCAGAGGCCTAAGTGCCTGGGCTCTAATTCATCCCTGGGGAGGAGAAGAATTCCTGTGGTGGTGGCTGGGAAGTGCTGATGGACTCTGGTGTGTAGGGTTGGTGTATTTCTGGGAACAGCTGATGGATTCACAGGGGCTGCTTGTGCAGGGTGTGTGTGACAATTTTATTACTTTAAATCTGCATGCACAAATATTGTGCATTCAGACTGGGATTTTCACAGGTGACTGAAGCTCTCTCAGGCTTCTTTGGATATCCCAGGCTAATTTCCTCAGGAACATCTGAAAACATTTTCACCAATAAATGAGCAGCCTCCCATATCCCTGCAAAACAATGAATGAATAGAAAATGATATGCACAAATCTTGTTATCCCAAATGAAGTTCCCAAACACTTCAAACCAAACACACTGGTGTAAATAAAACAATAAAACAAGTTTATTAACTACAGAAAGATAGATTTGAAGTGACTACAAGTAGTGAGGCATAAAAGTCAGAATTGGTTACAAAGAAATAAAAGGCAAAACACAAACTAATATCTAACGTAACAAGCTCAGCGAATTCAAAGCAAAACTCTTTCTCATCATATGTTCTAACAGTCTTACTGGCTGAATCTTCGAGCCAGGATCTCTCTGCCTCATCCAGTGATGCTTCCTTTGTCTTTTAAGTTTTGTCATCTCCAGCTGAGGTTTGGGAGCAGCAAGTCTGTTTGCATGGGAAGCCTCAGCTGTTCCTTTGCCAAGATGTAAATTTCTCACTCACACCCTTCTTCCTGCCAAAGAATGTCCCCTTAATCAGGTGATAGTCCATTTGTTTATGTTGGCACCTGGCCAAGGCATCAGTTTGCCTTTTGTCTCTGAGGAACTGGTTTGTGCCTGCTTTTCTAAACTTGGAACATGTCTCAGCAGTCTCATACTGTATAATCTTATGACTTTACATACAATGTTGTCACACATATTGTACCAGGACAGTAATGACCAGCAAATTATGAGTTTTCAATACCTCACTAGTCATATTTTGTACAAAATTTATCATCGTCTTATAAAAGTGGTAAACATAAGGGTACAGACTGTCACACCTACTTTGACAGGGTAACAAGCCTTGTGGATGGGGGGAAGCAGTAGATACGATATATCTTGACTTTAGTAAGGCTTTTCATACTGTCTCGCATGAGCTTCTCATAAACAAACTAGGGAGAGATAGCCTACTATAAGCTGGATGCATAACTGATTGGAAAACCGTACTCAGAGAGTAGTTATCAGTGGTTCACAGTCAAGCTGAGGTCCCACAGAGATCTGTCCTGGGTTTCATTCTATTCAATAGCTTCATACATGATTTGGATAATGGCACAGAGAGTACATTTACAGATGCGGATGATACCAAGCTGGGTTGCATGCACTTTGGAGGACAGGATTAGAATTCAAAATGATCTGGACAAACTGGAGAAATGGTCTGAAATAAATAGGATGAAATTCAATAAGGACAAATGCAAAGTACTCCACTTAGGAAGGAACAATCAGTTGCACACATACAAAATGGGAAATGACTGCTTAGGAAGGAATACTGCAGGAAAAGATCTGGGGATTATAGCAGATAACTAACTAAATATGAGCCAACAAAGTAATAGTTGCAAAAAAAAAGTGATCATTCTGGGATGTATTAGTAACAGTGTTGTAAGAAAGACACAATAAGTAATTCTTCCACTCTACTCAGTACTGATAAGGCGTCAGCTGGAGTATTGTGTTCAGTTCTGGGCACTACGCTTCAGGAAATGTGTGGACAGAATGGAAAAAGTCCAGAGAAGAGCAAAAAAAAAAAAGATTAAAGGTCTAAAAAACGTCCTATGAGGAAAGATTGAAAAAAATGAGTTTGCTTAGTCTAGAGAAGAGAAGACTGAAGAGGGGTCATGATAACCGTCTTCAAGTATGTAAAACGAATAAGGCAAAGCTACTGTTGAAACTTGCATTATATGCCAAATAAAAAAAAAATGCTGTTAAAAAAAGTGGGTTTAACAAATTGTGGTTTTCAGCAATATAAGCTCCTGTATTTTCTGTATACGCCAGAGCAGCTTCAGCTAACTCTCCCTGTATGCGCATGCTTGAATAAATGGACCTCAAGCTTTGTTCTGATTCAAACACGTGTGGTTAATTTTTCCACGATAATCTTGGTGCCGTGACTCGGATAGATGGTGACCCCCAAGAGCCGGAGGACCATGAGCTGTTCCCCACCAGACCCCGGGCCCATCTGAAAAGGTAAGAGACCTTTTGAAATCTCTATATTGGGTTTCTGATGGAGGACTGCCCATAGGCTCTGGGTTCGGGTGAGTTGCACACTCTATTTGGACTTTTGCTGCCAGACACACCTGATGCCCTTGGGGTGGGTCAGAGTCCCATCCAAGTTTGGTTTCCCTGGGAAGAACCACTGAGGGTGGCTGGGCAGGTCGTGGATAGATCTGGGCAGGTCGTGGATAGACCTGGTTCCATGTGCCAGTGTGAAACTGAAGGTTGGTAGACTGGTGTGAGTGTAAGTCACAGGAAGACACCCAGAGCGCCCTGCGAAGCTGTGGGCTCATGACCGGCGAGGGGCCTGTCTGGGTCTAGGAGTGTGTGATCCCATCCCTTCCATCCTCGGATGGTCTGTTTCCATACCCTCTTTCCTCCTCTGTCTCTGGTTCCCGCCTGAAGGTGGTTTGAAAAGCCACTGACTGGTCTGATCTCCTCGCCCAAAAACAACAGAGTATGTGGTACCAGCTGATGCTCTTTGCTAAAGGGGGGCTGTAAGACAGTCGTGGAGGCCCTAAACAAACCTTCCCTGTGTGAGTGGGATGAGTGAAAGATCTGTAGGGATTCTGGGAGCCAGGGGGTCCAAAAGGGATTCCAGCACTCGCCAGCTAAAATGGGGGCTGGTGAGTCAAAAATGATCACCGTCCTGCCAAAAGGCACACACTAGTTCACTTGCAAGTTTCTGAAAAAATTGGAATTGGTATACCAGGAATAGGGATAATCGATGAAGTGAGCTGTAGTTCACAAAAGCTTATGCTCAAATAAATGTGTTAGTCTCTAAGGTGCCACAAGTCCTCCTTTTCTTTTTGTGGGTACAGACTAACACGGCTGCTACTCTGAAACCTGTCTTTGAAGTTATGGTTTCCCTTAGAGGGAAAGCTTCGACCTTAACAAGATTGTGCCCCTCAGAAGTGCGCTTCTGGCCAATGTCAGTGTGAGGCATATTTCTATTGGCATGAAGAAACAGAAGGGGGGGGAAAAAACCCGGCTCCATGAATTTCAAATAAGGAGTCTCAAGGACTACCAGGAGAAACTTACAACATGATTAAAAAAAGATAAAAAGAAAAATTGG